ACCGTCAATCCTTAAATCAATCTATCAATCTATCCAGCTATCAATCGATCAATCAATCAATAAATCAATCAACCCTTAATCAATCTATCAATCCATCCAGATATCAATCAATCTATCAATCCATCCAGTATCAATCAATCTATCAATCCATCCAATCAATAAATTGATCCATCAGTCAATCAACCAATCAATCTATCAAACAGTAAAATAATCATTCGATGAATCAATCAATCAAGCAAGCAATCATAAATCAATCAATCTAACGAACAGTCAAATCATAGTCAAATAATCAATCAATCAACCAACCAATCCAATCAATCCACCAAACAGTCAAATAATCATTCAATGAATCAATCGATCAAGCAACCAATCAAGCAAGCAAACAATCATGCATCAATCAATCTATCGAACAGTCAAATTATAGTAAAAAAATCAATCAATCAACCAACCAATCCATCAATCAATCCATCAATCAATCAATTAATCAATCAATCAATCAATCCATCATAATTTGATATTGCTGGTACCCAACAGACCCATCATCATTGCCAGTAGCCAATAGCCAATAGCACAGCCATACCAAGTACATGATCATCACCGATCGATGGGGCCATCGTCGATAAGCTACTGCCATGAATGACCATCCCCATCCGCCATCATTGCCGTACCCATCGCCGTCGTTTTAAGTTTTAACCATAACCTTCGTATAACCATAGGTCATGACTATTGACTTCAGTGGTTGCAGCCATAGCTACTCTACACAAAAACCCAGCTATAACCATAGCTTATGACTATGGCTTTAGTGTCCTTACAGCCATAGCTACTATACTAAAAGACCCACCACAAATAGCACTTGCGGGAAACGTGAATCGAACCCATATCCTCTGCTTGGTTGGATAGTCTCGTCATTATCATAGCCATTACGGTCAGCACCATAGCCATCGTCATTTAAAACAAAAAAAATAGTCTCGTCATTATCATAGCCGTGCTCGTCATTATCATAGCCATCACGATCAGCACCATAGCCATCGTCATTTAAAAAAAAAAAATAGTCTCGTCATTATCATAGCCGTCCTCGTCATTATCATAGCCATCACCATCAGCACCATAGCCATCGTGATTTAAAAAAAGAAAAATAGTCTCGTCATTATCATAGCCGTCCTCGTCATTATCATAGCCATTACGATCAGCACCATAGCCATCGTCATTTAAAAAAAAAAAAATTAAGGCCATCGTCATTCCATCCCAACAAATACAACAATCTTTCTCAAAAAAAAAAAAAAAAAAAAAAAAAAAAAAAAAAA